GGGGCAAGGGTGGGGTTGAGTCAGGCGTGTCCCGCTGCAGGGGGAATACTGGAAAAAAATAGTCCAAAATAGTCTGGGGACGATTTGTTGTTATTTGTTGACGATGTTTTTGACCATTGATTTGACATGTTTAATCCCCCAAGTCCGCCTGTAGGAGGACATGCCCGACCTGAGGGTAGGGGACAACAGGTTCAGGGGGGATGCATCGATCCCCAAAATCGCCCACTCGGGCCTGATAGCTCACAATCCCCAGGAACCTGCGGATAACTACGCCATCGGGGGCTTGTCGCTGATCTGTCGGCGATTCCAGGTCCATATTTCCCCCTGGGCCAGTTCCCTCCAGGTCCACGATTCCAGGTGGAGCGACGACATCACGCAGCTTTTACACTCTACTATAACCGGGGACAAAAGCACACTCTGGGTAAAACTTGCTACGGACACTGTATTCTGGCAGTCGCTGGAGAACGACTTCATCGCCTACTCCAGCGTCTTAACTATTACGGACCCCGGCCCGCCCGCGCCGGCCCCCCGGACCCCGCTAGCCACTGGCCAGAAGACACGCCTCGCGCCTCACCTCGCCTCGCCTCCTGGGCCAGTCCCCGGTGGCTTTCGGGCCATACGTCGGCCTCCGGCGGCCGTTCGGGGCGATCTTGGCACCGCCAGAACGCTCTCGACGAGGCGCAGCTGCTGGAGAGCACCCCGAGGCTGGAAAGCCGCCGAGAACCTACCAAGCAGCCGAAAACCTCGAGCCTCTCACCTATCGTGGCCCCCATAACGTTGCCCCTCACCCCCTGACATACCTCCCCACCTGACCCCCGCGTTCCGCGGCGCCCACCGACGCGCGCGGCTGGCGCTCTCCGCGCGCGCGCGCCGCCTGTGGCCGCCAGCCCTTTCCGGCAGCCCTCCGGCTCTAAAGGCAGGCTCGGAGGATCCGGCTCGTCCTCCTCCCTCACCTCCTCCTGTTCCTCCTCTCCCTTTCTCCTGCTGCTCCTCCTCATCCTCTTCCCTCTCCGTCCCCCCATGTTTCTGCTGCTCCTCCCTCCTCTTCCTCCTCGTCTTCCTTCGTCCTCCTCTTCGTCGTTGCCGCTGTCCTCCTCCATCCGCCTCTTCTCCCTCCTCCGTCCGCCCTCCGTTTCCTCATCGCTCTTGTCATCCTGCTCTTCCGTCCTCTTCCTCCTCATGCTCCTGTTTCTTCCTCCTCCTCCTGAGGTCGGAGGTTGCAACATATAGTCCTGGCCCAAGCAGCCCCATGATGTCGCCACCTTCGCGGGCGCCCAGGGCCCTCTGGGCCTCGAGAGTGGTGACCTGAAAACCCCTTGGGCCTCCCAGAGCAAGCTGGGGCCACCATGGGCTACGATAGTAGATGTCTCCTCCTCTTTCTCTTCGTCCTCCATCCCTTTTCATTCTGAATAACTCTCCTCCCTGTCGCGCCCCCAGACGTATCGATAGGGCGGGCCGGGCATTTCTCCGGAGACTTCATTCGGGAGCCTTGTGACGGGGGTCAATTCAAACGGGGGTCAGCCAGAGCGCCCGATCTTGCAGGACCTTGCAGAGCCAGGGTCGCATTGACCCGATTTTGGGCGCAGGATCTTGCAGGATCCTTCGTGTTGGCCCGGGCTTGGGTGCAGGATCTTGCGGGATCTTGCAAGGCCTGTCTGACCCGGGTCTGGATTGACCCGGGTCAGCAGATCCCCGATTCCTCACCACTCATGATATTGAAGCCTGAGGGTGGTTTTCAAAATGTGGTTCTCGTGTGAGCGCCGCGCAGATTCGTTCAACGCGTTTGCAACAGCTTCAGGGGTGGAGGGCGGTCCGTTTGCAAAATGGGGCTCTCACCCTAGCGCCTCGCACATTCGTCAAAAAAGTTCGCACCGGTTTCATGGATGAAGGGCGGTCCCTTTTCAAAATGTGGTTCTCGCTTCTGCGCCGCGCACAGTCGTTCAAAAGCTTGCAGCAGTTTCAAGGATTCGTATGGCCGAAATGGCTGAGTACCAGGAATGGTGTTCTAGTGCGATTTAGGGTTGTCAGTACGCAATAGTACCGTTGATTCGCTGTGTTGACATCCCAGAAGTCGCGTTTTTGCAAGATTTAGGACGGTCAGGACTCAACAGCTATGCTGATTAATGGCGTTAAGTCCCAGGAGCTGTGTTTTAGCATGCTTGGGTTCTCAGACGGTTGTCTTCCAACAGGGCATTTCCCGCAATGAAAGTATTTTTTGGTAGGGACCCAAGAAAGAAAGTGGAGGGAGGGGGTATTGCAACATCGTTGATACGTCTTTGGTTTGCACTCGTCCTCCTGTTCCTTCGCCTCCTTCTCCTCTCTCCATAGTTACACACTATGATTACTACTCTGCTATCTCCCCTGACTCTGTCCAGGAGATCGTCGGCCCTCTTCGCGCAGTGTTGTTTTACACGGGATTTGGCAAAAGTGATGTTCGCATGGCTTTAAGTTACAATTCGATCATTTCCGGAGTTGCAAACAGTTCTCCTATTGCAACGTGGGCTTCATCTTCGGACCGGCGCTGTGCTCCCGTCGCTCAGAAAGGCGTTCTCCAGGGCAATGTTCTGGGTCCGGGTGTTTTTTCTTCGTCGTCGCCCCCCTCATTTCCATTCGTTCGCCTTCCCCTAGTCATCCTGCTCCTCCCGCTTCTTCCACTCCAGTTCCTTCTGATGCTGTTCGTCCTCGTCCTCCTCCTTCATCCTCCTTGTCCTCCTGCTCACCCGCCACCCTCTCGTCTTGCGTACTTCCCTTTTCAGATGATGTCTTTCTCCCAACCCTTCTGTGCCGGGCTCCTGTTCTGAAAAACGTCAGCTTGCGATTTTGAAATAATGCCCCTCCCAGGGCTGATGAATCGACCCCGCGGGGCGCGAAACATTGTTTGTCGTCACGCGCGCCAGGGGGTCTCCGCGGTCGCCGCCGAGGGGATCATGGTCCCCATGCACGGCAGCCTCAAAACGATTGATTTTCGTATAGACGTTGTTACAGGGATCGTATACATCCGAGGCGAACTGTTTTCCCTCTCAGGCTGATCACTGACGTGCCACAGTCGTCGTCGTCGTCCGTCGTCCGTCGCCCGTCGTCGTCGCCGTCGTCCTTCGTCCGTCGTCCGTCGTCCTTCGTCCGTCGTCGTCGTCGTCGTCGTCGTCGTCGTCGTGGTCGTCGTCGTCGTGGTCGTCCGTCGTCGTCCGTCGTTGGCGTCGTCGACGTCCGCCGTCGTCGTCGTCGCTCACGTCGTCGTCGTCCGTCGTCCATTGTCGTCGTCCGTCGTCGTCGTCGTCATCGCCGCCGCCGTCGTCGACCACAGCGGTCCTGCGAAGCCCCCCCCCCTTGGGGTATCCGCAGTGCCTCGTCGTCGTCGTCGCCAAAGTCGTCGTCGTCGACGTCGGCGCCGGCGTTGACGTTGACGTCGACGGCAGGACGACAACGGGCCTGGGCAGCACACACAACACACGCACACACACACACACACAACACACACACACACACAACACACACACACACACAACACACACACACACAACACACACACACACACAAAAGGGGTGCATCCGCAGTGCGCCGTCGCCGTCGTCGATGATTACAACGGGCATGCGCAGCACACCCGCCCCCCCCCACACCATGGAGTATCCGCAGTGCGTCGTCGTCCGCCGTCGCCGCCGTCGTCGTCGCCGTCGTCGTCGTAGGACATATTGTAGTGGGAAGGGGGGGTGGGAGGGGTGGAGGGAGAAGGAGATGGAGGAGTCCGTTCCGCCTGCCTCTGCTTCTCATCCACCCCTTGTCCCGTTCTTGTTTGCGGCCATGTCGGCACTGCCCACCAACTGACGCGCATCTTCCCCTCGTTTTTTCTCTGCTGTCTCTACCCATGTTGGACCAAACGCCCCGCTATAGCGGAGGCGCTGCTGTCCTCCTCCGCTGAAATGGCGCCGTTTGCGTCGCGCCTGTCGCCCTCTCGCCGGCGGCTGGGCGTCGGCGCGAATTGCCGGCGGCGCCGCCGCGTGTTTCCATTTGTCGGGCGTTCCCGCCGCGATTCGCCCGAGCACAACCTGTTTAATCACGCGCCCCCCGTGTTTTTAATAATCGCAAGCTGACATTTGAGCAGTGTGGTCTTCATCCTTTCCTCCTCCTCCTCCTCCTCCTCCTTCTCTTCCTCCTCCTCCTCCTCACCCCTCTTCCTGCCTCCTCCTCATCCTCTTCCTCCTCCCCCCTCCTCCTCCTCCTCCTCCTCCTCCTCCTCCTCCTCCTCCTCCTCCTCCTCCTCCTCCTCCTCCTCCTCCTCACCCCTCTTCCTGCCTCCACCCTCCTCCTCCCGTCTCCTCCTGTATCATGTTTCCTTGCCTCCCTTGCTCGCACTCCATTTCTATTCGGAGGCCGCCAGCTGCGCAACTGTCGCAAATTCCGTGGGCGCGCGGGAGGTCCGGCGGAGCGAAGGCGTGCGCACATCCAGCCGAGATCTCGCGTTTTTTTTGGAGGTTGCAAAGTGCGCAATTGTCGCCACGTTCGTGGGTTCCTCGGAGGTTCAGCGGAGCCAGCGGCCACGCGGATCAAGTTAGAACCTCGTCTCGCCCTGGGTGGTTGCGAAGTGCACAATTGTCGGGACTGTCGCGGGTTTTTGGGAGGTCCAACGGAGTCGGGGGGCACGCGGATCCAGCCGAGACTTCGCGGCTTCCTGGAAGGCTGCGAACTGCGCAATTGCCCCCACTTCCGCGAGCTGTTGGGAGGCATTGTGGACACGAGGGCGGCGCATCAGGCGATGTGGAGCGCCCACGCAAAGATATGCATCGCGTGGAGATGCGGTCGGGCACGTCGCAGGTAGTTTTGAGTTCCAGGTCAGCCATGACATGCGCATGCGGGTAGAGAATACCCAGCGCAATGGAAAGGGATGGGAGGGAGGGATCGGATGTTTGTTGTGTCGCGAGCGCACCTAGCTTGGCACCCTTTCCTCTTCTCTACTCCTCTGTCCTCCTCATTCCTCCTCCTTCCTCTTCTCCTTCCTCCTCGACCTTCCTCCCTCTTTTCCCTCCTCCTCCACATATCTCGCTTCCCTCTTCCTCTCCACTCCTATATTCTCCCTCCTCCGCCTCGTTCGCTCGCGGCGATGCCTGGCGTGGCCGAGTGCGCTGAGCCGCGCGAGGAGGACCCGGCAGACGAGAACGGGGGCTTCGGGGGCGACAAGCAGTGGCACTTCTGCGACGGCGGGCTCGTCGTCCGCGCCTTCGAGGACTTCATGGAGGCCGCGATCGGGGGCGTGGTCACCAAGGCCCGCCCGATTCCACGAAGGGAACATGGCATACAGTCGGACCTGGGATTCCTTCGAGAACATGAGACCCCCCGCCGGCCAAAACACCCCAAAACCATAAGATCACCGAGGGTGCCCTTCCGTTGGGGGGGGGGCATGGGGGACGCGCCGAAGTCCACCCTCAAAGCCCTAGGACTCTCAAGCCGTCGGGCGCGCAGCCTGGCCGGCGCGGATGTCTTGGCTCGGCGCTGGACCCCCCATGGCGGCGCCTCCGGCGCCGCCCCGGCCGCGCGCCAAAGGATCTGGACGCCAGAAATGGGCACGGAAAGAATGGGTACAATGCCTAACAGCAGTCCCTGTTCATTTTGAACCGGATTCGCTGTCCACGCCGCCGCGGCCTGTGTCCATTCGAGACAGAAGGCCGCCTGCCCAACAGCGGCCGCTGTTGGTTTGGGACAACATTTGTTGTTGGGCATTGTGCCCATTTTTCCGTACTCATTTCGGGCGTCCAACAAGGAGGGGGCCCCAGCACCGATCCAAGAAACCCGCGCACACCTTCAGAAAGTCGTGATTTCTTGTGATGTGTTACGTCAGAGTGGGGGGGGCGAGCGATCATTCACTGTCCCTGGGCGCGTAGCTGAAGTGAGGTTATGCGGTGCGGATTGTTGTTGTGGTTGTTGTTGGTGTTGTTTTTGTTGGTGTTGTTGTTGTTGGTGGTGGTTCTGGTGGTGGTGGTGTTGGTGCGGTTGTAGGTGGTGGTGGTGTTGTGGTTGTTGTTGCCGTTGCTGTTGTTGATGCTGTCGTCGCTTGTTGTCGTCATCCCACCCGCGACCCGGCCCGCTACCCACCCGCGACCCATCCACGACCCACCCGCGACCCAGCTTGCGACCCACCAGCGACCCCCCCGCGACCCCCCAGCGACCCACCCCTCGACCCACCTACATTGCTTCAACGGAAAAAAAGGGCGCCTGCGGCGGGCCCATTGCATAAGTTGTAAAAGCTTAGCGCCTGCGGCGGGCTTCTGCAGAGCCTCGCAGACTGCCGACGTCCTCGCCGCCCGTTCACTCTCATCCGCAACTGCGGGGTGCTACGTCAGAGTGAGGGGTCGAACGGTCTTTCACTGTTCCTGGGCGCGTAGCTGAAATGAGGTTATGCGGTGCGGTGTGTTGTTGTTGCTGTTGGTGGTGGTGTTGAGGTTGTTCTTGGTGTTGTTGTGGCTGTTGCTGTTGTTATTGTCGTCGTCGTCGTTGGTGGTGGTGTTGTTACTGTTATTACTGTTGCTGCTGCTGTTGTTGGTGGTGGTGCTGTTGTTGTGGGTGCTGTTGTGGGTGTTGTGAGTGGTGTTGCTGCTGCTGTTGTTGGTGTTGATGTTGGTGCTGGTTTTGTTGCTGTTGCTGTTGCTGTTGACGTCGTTGATTGTTGTTGTTGATGGTGTTGCTTCTGCTGCTGCTGTTGTTGGTGGTGTTGTTGTAAGTGTTGTTGTTACTGTTGCTGTTGTTGTTGGTGTTGTAAGTGTTGTTGTTGCTGTTGCTGTTGGTGTTGGTGTTGATGGTGGTGTTGTTGTTGGTGTCGTTGTTGCTGTTGTTGTTGCTGTTGTTGTGTATTGTCGTCGTCCCCCCACGACCAGTCCCGCGACCCACCCGCGACCCACCCCCGACCCACCCCGCGACCCACCCGCGACCCACACGCGACCCATCCCGCGACCCGCCCGCGACCCTCCCGCGACCCACCCGCGACCCTCCCGCGACCCAGCCCGCGACTCACCCCGCGACCTACCCACGACCCACCCCTCGACCCACCCATATTGTTCTAACGAAAACAAGGCGCCTGCGGCGGGCTCAATGCATAAGGTGTAAAAGTCTGGCGCTTACGGAGGGGTCCTTCAGAGCCTCGCAGACTGCCGACATCTTCGCCGCCCCCTCACTCTTATCCGCAACTGCGGGGTGCTACGCATTCGTCGTTGGATCGATGGTGGATCGAGTTTGGGGGGTCGTCTTGGGAGCCTCCAGGAGGAGTATTCTTGTCACCACGGCTGGGTCCCCACGAACTCCTTGAGCGTGAAGAGAAGGGGTCATGGAGGAACCGGGTCCTGCAAATTTTGCGCCGTTGCTGGGCTCACGGGGCCTTTCTCGGGCCCCAGAACCGACAAGACAACCAGCTCAGGATGAACAACTCGATGTTAGAGGGAAAGCCTTGGGGTCCAGGACCCGATTCCATCAGGACCCATGAGGACCCCTCGTGCCAAGATCGAGGGAGAGAAAACACCTTGATCAACCTCGCTGGCGTTCACTGAACAGTCTTGTGCGCTCACCACACAGCACTGCCCTGCTTGATTCCCTCCCTGGGTGCGCTCACCAAAGGGCTTCGCTTTGGTAGGGGTGCTTATTTCGGGGGGGTCCTTTTGCCCCCTACACTCAGGTCGGGCGTGTCCCCCTACGGGCGGATGTCGGACGAAAACCAAACGATACCCAAAACATATCCGAAAATGGTCAAAACATCGTCCCCTGACGATTTTTGACGACTCGGGAATTTCACTCCCGTAGGGGGACGGGCCCGATTTTTGACCCTGCACGAGGCGTCAGTGGACCTCGCGCGCTGGTGTGCCGAGCGCTGCCCGGAGGGCACCTGGGGCGGCCGGCGCTGCGTGGAGCTGGGCGCCGGGTGCGGCCTGGCGATCAGGGGCAGCGACAGGGGGGGGTGGGACAGGCACAGGGGGGGATTCGACCAGACGTAAGAGTGACCTTTGGCAGGAGTGACCTTTGGTGCGGGCACAGACGGGTCCCCTGATGGCGGAAAGCAAAGCAGTCAGTGGCAGTTGCTTGCGCACCCAGGTTTGGTCCCCCCGCGGCCCCCAAAAAGCCGCGCACCAAAGGTCACTCTTACCCAGGGTCACTCTTGCGTATAGCCGAGGGATGCATCGACCCCCAACCGCCCACTGATCGCCGGTAGGGGCCCGATAGCCCCAACCCGGGGCTGAACCTGAACGGGGTGTCTCGTTTTCATTTTGGTTTCATTTTTTCCCTCGTTTTGTCTTCAGTCCACCTCTACCGCAGAACGAAATCGAGACGAAAACGGCCCACGAAATCGCCAGAACACCGTTCAGGTCCAGCCCTGCCCCAACCTGCCCAGGAAAGTGTGGACTCACTGTCGGGGCCCTGTCGCCGCCCTGTCGACGATGTGTCGCCGATGCCAGATCCATGCATGCCCCCCGGATGCCAGTCCCCCCCCCCTCGGCGCCCCTCAGGTGAGTGGCGCGCTGCTGCGGCGCCACGCGCGCGTAGTGGCGACCGACATGGAGCCGCTCCTGGAGCACCTCCGGCGGAACTCGGCAGCAAATCGTGCGGGCCTCGTGCGCCTTCGTAACTTCATCTTTGGAACGCACCAGCACCGATTAGCGTCCGGCAATCGATGGGAAAGCGCCGACTCAGCGTCGGTTGGCGTCACTTGGGGACGCCGAGCATCGACTTGGCGTCGATCAGCGGCGGCTCGCAAGAGCCAACACGAGATGGTCTGGGAGGCTCCCATGAGTTGCCACCGAAGGTGGAACCTAAGCCTGAACGCGGAGGACTGGAGGAAGAAGAACAAGAGCAGCAGCAGCACAAATTGTCAGCGGTCCTCGCGTACTTCTTGCGCCTGCGCTGGACCCCGCTTCCCGGCGGCAGGGGCAGCGCCGGAGGCGCCGCCAGGGGGGGTCCAGCGCAGATGCGAGAAATCCGCGCGGACCGTCGAACATTTCATCAAGGGCTTACGCCATTCCGCCGACCCCCACAAGGAGTGAGTGCTTGAGCTTGGCATCGCTCGGACGTGTGCATTTTTCCTTCGGCGAGGACCATCGAGGAGCATCCTTGATCTTTTGGCGAAAAAACCACGCACAAAACCGAAAAAAACGCAGGGAATGGACGTCCGAGCGATGGCCAGTGAGACGATCGTCGAAGTTCTACGTAGCACCCCGCAGTTGCGGATAAAGAGTGAGGGGGTTGCGAGGACGTCCGCCGTCTGCGAGGCTCTGAAGAACCCCGCCGCAGGCGCCGATTTCTTGGTTAAATCCATGTGGCATGTGGGTGGGTCGAGGGGTGGGTCGTGGGTGGGTCGCTGGGTGAGTCGCGGGGTGGGTCGCGGGTGGGTCGCGGGTGGGTCGCGGGTGGGTCGCGGGTGGATCGCGGGGTGCGTCGCGGGGTGCGTCGCGGGTGCATCGCGGGGTGCGTCGCGGGGTGCGTCGCGGGTGGGTCGCGGGTGGGAGGGAGAAGAGAGAGGGGGAGGGGGACGGCCAAATGTCTCACACGCCTTTGCGCCCTCGGCATTGCGGGGGTCGGCGGATTGGCATGCCGCCTGTCTGCCTCCGAGGACGGCTCCCCGGAGCACGGCGTCGAGGCCCTGAGCTGGGAGGACGGCGCCAGCAGGCAGGCGCTGCGAGCGCGCCTCGGGCCGGACGGCGCCGGGGCGGTGTTGGCGGCGAACTGCGTGTATTCCCACGACGCCATCGGCCCGTTCCTGGCGACGGTGGAGGCCCTCTCCGGGAAGGATCGACTGGACGCAAGAGTGACCCTTTGCCAGAGTGACCTTTGGTGCGGGCCCAATGGGGCCCCCCGATCGCCGAACGCGATGCGATAGTAGCGCCTTGCGCACTTGTGCTTGGCCCCCCCGCGGCCCCCATAAAGCCGCGCACTAAAGGTTCGAGTAGGGGGGATCGACTACAGGATTGATTTACCCTTAATTGATTTCCGTCGAGTCTATGGCAAATGCGTCCTATGTTCCGTAGATATACTGGGCATTATATGTCAGAATGAGGGGGCCGAACGGTCATTCACTGTCACTGGGCGCGTGGCTGAAGTGAGGTCCTGCGGTGCGGATTGTTGTTGGTGTTGTTGGTGGTGGTGGTGTTGTTAGTGTTGGTGTTAGTGTTGGTGTTGTGTTTGTTACTGCTGTTGGTGTTGTTGCTGTTGCTACTGTTGCTGTTGGTGTTGTTGTTGCTGTTGCTGGTGTTGCTGGTGTTGCTGTTGCTGTTGGCGGTGTTGCTGTTGTTTGTGTTGTTGCTATGTAGTTGGTGGTGGCGTTGCTGTTGAACTCTCATCATTAATGAAGATGTATTGTTGATCCTCCTCCGGTAACATACGTGTTTTTCAATTGAAATGCCCCTCCTGGGGCTCGCACCCGGTTTTTGATCAGGGAAAGTCTTCCTCCTCAATTTGCGTTGTTGACCCCCAGACTACAACAACAACAACAACAACAACAACAACGGCTCCCGCCTGATATTTCCACGCAAAGTATTGAGGAATCGCGTTCTCGCTATGGATTTCCTTGCAAGTTACCCTAGAATCGCGCTCTCGCCTGTGACTTTCTCTCGATGTATTCAGGCGCCACGCCCTCGCCATTCAGGAATCGCTCTCGCCTGGCACTACCCCATAATTTACTTAGGAATCGCGCTCTCGCCCGAGGTTTCCTGGCGAGTTATACAGGACTCACGCATTCGCGTTTAACGCATGTTGTTTCAATTGATGTGCCCTCCTGGGGCTCGCAGTGTTTGTTCTGTTAAAAATATTCGTGCTCGAATTGTGTCCCTGGGCCCCAGTTTACAACAACAACGGCTCCCGCCTAATACTGCCCTACAATGTATTCCCAAATCGCGCTCTCGCGAGGGATTTCCTCATACTTTAATGCAGGAGTCACGCTGTCGCGTGGGATATCCTTGCAGTTTTTTCAGACGCCACGCCCTCGACACTCAGGAATCACGCTCTCTCTGTGGAGTTCTTCCAGATTGATTCGGAAATCGCGCTATCGCTCGAGACTTCCTCGCGACTCATGCAGGACGCACGCTTTAGCAACCCGCCTGCTCGACCTGGCCGTCTAGGCCCGCCTTCCCGACCCGCCCTTGTAGGGTCTACCCGCCCGATATGCCCGTCTGGTCCTGTCAGGTATTTTCTGCTCCTAGCCCCCCTCCTGCTATTTGCTCTGGTGTTTCATATTCCTCCCTCCCCCTTGTTCCTGCCTTCCACCCGTCCTCGCTTTCCCTGCCTTAGGGGCTGCACGAAATAGACACGTTGCAGGTGAGAAAGAACGATCGAAGACGAAGAGGGCGGGTATCGAGGGTTTGGGATACACGTGTTGAATTGCACGCGAGCAGGGAAGAGCGAACAGTCTTAACATGATGGTTGGTGTTGTTGCTGTTGCTGGTGCTGTTATTGTTGGTTGTTGGTGGTGCTGTTGTTGATGTTGTTGTTGCTGCTGTTGGTGTGGATGTTGTTGTTGATGTTGTTGTGGTTGCTGCTGCTGTTGGTGTAGTTGATGGTGTAGTTGTTGTCGGTATTGTTGTTGATGGTGCTGTTGGTGTTGGTGTTGTTGGTGGTGCTGTTGGTGCTCGTGTTGTTGGGTGGTGTTGTAGGTGATGTTGTTTGTTGTTGGTGGTGTTGGTGGTGGTGTAGGTGTTGTTATTGTTTGTTTGTGTTGTTGTTTGTTTGTTTGTTTGTTGATTGTTATCCTCGTCCCCCCCGCGACACGGCCCGCGACCCACCCGCGACCCCACCCGCGACCCACCCGCGACCCACCCGTGACCCACCCCGCGACCCACCCGCGACCCACCTGCGACCCACCCCGCGACCCACCCGCGACCCATCCCTCGACCCACCCGCGACCCATCCCTCGACCCACCCGCGACCCATCCGCGACCTTTTTCTCGACCCACCCACATTGCTTCAACGAAAGGATAAGCGCCTGCGGCGGGCTCACTGCATAATTTGTTAAACTTAGGCAATGCGGCGGGCTTCTCCAGAGTCTCGCAGACTGCTGACGTTCTCGCCGCCCCCTCACTCTTAGATCCGACGGGAAAATCAATGTTCTCGCAGATCCGACGGGAAAAGAAATTTTGGGGCGAGTCAACTCTGTAGTCGATCCGTTACTCGAAAGGTCACTCTTACCCAGGGCCACTCTTGCGCGTAGCCGAAGAGGAGACCCTGGCGCTGATGTGCGGGATCCCCGTGCCGAAGGCCCTGGGCCAGGGGGCAGCTGCCGGCCAAGGCCCCGCCAGCACCGAGCCCGGCGCGGCCACCGAGGAGGCCACAGCCTCCGAGTGCGCGTCGGAAGAGGCCACCCTGATCGACGGCTTCCTGGCCGCGGCGCCGGGCCTTTTCGACGCACATGTCGGGTGCTACTAGAATCCCGAAGAAGAAACAAATGCACAAGCATGCACTGTTGGCGCTCCGCGCGGATTTCTTGCATCCGCGCTGGGCCCCCCTCTATGCCGCTTCTTTTTCTTATTATGTTTCTTGTTGTTTTTCTTCTTCTGCTTCTTTTCCTCCTCCTTCTTCTTCTTCTAGAAGTGGGCCTGGCCCGAGGTGGCCCCTGGCGTCCCCAGTGAGGCCCAGGTGGCTTCCCGAGCACCCCCACGCGAGGCCCAGAGGTTCCCTGGGGGCTCCACAGCGTCACCCCCAGGGGGCGCAGCGCGTGAGGGCGCGGAGACCACCGTTTTGGCGGAGGAGCTGCTCCGCCGCCGCCGCCGCCGCCGCCGCCGCCGCCTCCTCCTCCTCCTCCTCCTCCTCCTCCTCATCCTCCTCCTCTTCCTCCTCCTCCTCCTCCTCCCTCCTCCCCCAGGGCGCGGAGACCTCCTAGGCTTAATTCGGGCTTGTCCCTCTACAGGAGGAGTATTCAAGAATAGTCAAGAAAATAGTCTGGAGACGATTTTCCCAACCCTCCTGCGTTGGGTTCTCGTTTTGAATAGAGCACTGCTCGCGCGAACCTTCCTTCCCGTCCCTCTCTTCCCCCCTACCTTTTACCTCGCTCGTCGCTGCGTTTCGAGGGCTGCTGGGGGCTGCGATCTGTGAAACTGTCACCACTTTCGAGGGCTGCTGAGGGGCCCAGCACAGTGGGCTTCCCGCACGTCTTTCTCCTGCTCTTCGTTCCCGACTCCCCATGTCCTCTTCGAGCCTGTAGTTGTCGCCCCTCGTTCTTGTATGGTTCTCCTGCGCATCATGTCATTGGCGCGTGTCCCAAGTAGCTTGCATATCAAAAAACGGATCCTGCAATTTGATTGTCCGTGCAAGTTTCGGCCAACTCCTCGTTTCCCATGATACAAATGGGTTGGGTACGTCACAGGGTAATTCCCAACCATCCTGTGGTGTTGGGTCCTCGTTTTGAAGAGATGGTCCCCGCGTTCCTCCTTTTCCTCCTCCTCCTCCTCCTCCTCCTCCTCCTCCTCCTTCTCCTCGCCCTCCTCCCTCCTGCGTTCGCATGCCTCCCCACCACCAATTTCGGAACACCCCTCACACGCTTCGTGGCCCCATAGGCAGCTCCACCGAAGGCCCCAGTGGCTGCGTTCGCATGTCTCCCCACCACCCATTTCGGCACACCCCTCACACGTTTCGTGGCCCCATAGGGAGCTCCACCGAAGGCCCCAGTGGCTGCGTTCGCATGCCTCCCCACCACCCATTTCGGCACACCCCTCACACGTTTCGTGGCCCCATAGGGAGCTCCACCGAAGGCCCCAGTGGCTGCGTTCGCATGCCTCCCCACCACCTATTTCGGCACACCCCTCACACGTTTCGTGGCCCCATAGGGAGCTCCACCGAAGGCCCCAGTGGCTGCGTTCGCATGCCTCCCCACCACCCATTTCGGCACACCCCTCACACGTTTCGTGGCCCCATAGGGAGCTCCACCGAAGGCCCCAGTGGCTGCGTTCGCATGCCTCCCCACCACCCATTTCGGCACACCCCTCACACGATTCGTGGCCCCATAGGGAGCTCCACCGCAGGCCCCAGTGGCTGCGTTCGCATGCCTCCCCACCACCCATTTCGGCACACCCCTCACACGTTTCGTGGCCCCATAGGGAGCTCCACCGAA